TCTTACGGATAGCCAAGTTATTCTTTTGACACGTTTGTGGAATATTTTTTATGCTTTGCTTTTATAAATTCACATTATTGTGGGGTTTGTCTATAAAGAGACCCACCAAGTAATTATGGTAAAGAGGTTAGGCATAGGAAAGCAACGAATTGAGTCAACCATATAAGTAAGCTAAACTTCTCCATTATTTCAAAAAGTAAATTCTCAGTTTTAGAACATGTGTCACTTCTTTATTAAATCCCACTTCGACAAAAACAAGACCCACTATTGATGACCGAAAACAAATCAAGGTAAAACAACAGCACGATGATAATAAATGCATTTTATCGAAGAATATTTGGAGGTCCTGAATTCGGGACTATTTAATACTACATCCAATTCTTAATATAAGAGCTAGTTGACTTATTGAAGTAGATTAAGAAATTAGTTAATTTAGTTATTTATAATAAATAGGTATTATCTTTTCTAATATATCCTTACTAATCAAATATATTGGTTAGGACTACTATTATTACAAGAACTTTTTTAAAAAAAATAGATAAATATAAGAAACAAAATAAACTGAAATTTTATATTTAGAACTAAACTAAAAGTTAAACAATGTCTTGTATTAAGGACTGAATGGGGTATATATACTCCACTGGTAATTTTAAATTTAACATAATTTCCAGACTATATATTTATTAGAAAATACAACAGATTAAAAAATTTTCAAGAAAGAAGAAGATAAATTGAATCCTCTCTTTCTGTTTGTGGATTTTATTTTCGCTTCAAGACGTTCCGCAAAAATCAATCAATCCTCAAATTATATAATGTAAATGATTTCTCAAATCGCAGTGAGTTTCATGTGCATTAAATTATTAGAATTATTTCTTGGTATGAATTCCATTACAATGAATAGAAATATTTTGAAAAAAGATTAAAAACAAAATGAATTGAGATATTATATTTAAGACCAAATTTAACTCACAATTAGCTCTTATGTTAAGCAATAGGGTAATATTATTGTTGAGTAGTGCCGTGGAGTCTCAATCGTACTCAGTTTACTAGCAACCTTTTCAACCATGTGAATGTGTCTGGCAACAGTTATATTCCATTGCACTTTTTTCATGTCAAATTGTCATTGGTAAAAAGGAAAGGTAGGTAGGAAGAGAAATCGCAAATAAAGGAGAGATGAGGACAATAAAATGGGACAAAGAAGAAGAAGAAAAAGATGCACATCCCTCCAATTACACCCTGAGATCATAATAAGAGTCAATATCTTAGTGGTATCATTTAAGAAGAATTATAATCAGGTCTTAAGAAGGGAATTTAATTACTTTAAAATCTATCAACAAGTAAAGAGTATGCAATGACAAATTTTAAAGTAGGAAATGACAATGAGTTTAGGATAGTCCCTTGTCATTAAGATGCATGTTTTGGCAATTAAATTTTTTTTCTTTCAACCTCTTGGTAATTTTTCCCGCCAATTATTTTGAATATGATTGAGGTGATGCCGTCGTGTGAGTCATGTAAATGATGTAATACTAACGAGCTAGGATGCTGCTGTCTATTTAGACTTCCGACAAAAGATCACTCTACGGTCATTGATTAACACTTATAATTAGTTTGAAACTACCTGGAAGATGAAGTGAACTTGCAATAAACATTAGTTATATCCAACAATCATATTTCTTTCATGCAAGAAACAGAGAAGACGACAAAGAAACTTGTTTTGTATGTGTGTGTGATGAGTGGGGGAAAAATGGGTGATTGATATTATGACATTACCAACCCACTTGATTCTTCCCGAGGGCTCTTATCCGATGTGGCCCCCGGGGGCCATGGACATCGCCTTCCAATATGTTGGTGCGCACATAGGGATATTCTTTATCAAGGAAGGGAAAACTATTTTTTGAGATCATTAACCAAGAAAAGAAACCCCAGTTATTGTCAAGGAAGAAGTAAATAGTAGTTAGGTTTATTGGGCAAAAAAAAAATAGCTTGTTATATATATATATATATATATGTATATATATTTATCTAATGCGAATTGGTTTTGTTATGTTATCTCATTTAATCATTTGAATTAGAAATTAGAAAAAATCACAAGACAACCGTGAAAATTGCAAAATCATAAATTGGGACTTGTTAGAACACTTTCATTGGTTTTCATAACAATTAAATCGCAAATGACAACATATTTTTAACAAAATATCTGATTTGCAGCTTCACAATTTCCATAGTCTTTTCTTTTCTTTTTTCTTGCAATTTTTCCTCAAAATTACTCCTCTAATTCTATTTATGTCACTTCCAAGATGTTTCATGAAAATCATAAAAATCTTATCATGTTAATCTTGTTTTAAAATTTACCAACTTTCTAATTTCACCTTTGTTTAACATGTTACACTTTTGTAAAAAAATAACAATCTATACAATAATAAATTTCAGTTAACATACATATGAAACTCTAAAGCGAATTAAGATGCCCTTCTAATTGTTGTCATTGTTATTATTCTTTGAGTTACATTCAAGTAAGCAGACTTACCGATTTACGCCAATTTGTTTTATTATCAAAATTCGACATTTGTTTGGCTTGTATAGGTATTCTTTTATTAGAGATAGTCTTATTTAAAATACTACCAAGTATTAAATATGTGTACCTCTTTTATTATTGAGAATTTAAATTTTGGTTCTGAAATACTTACTCCTTCTATCATACCAAAACCCATTAGTAAATTTTACATGCCTTAAAGAGGGGGGAAAAACAAGGTCATGGGAATACAATAGAGACCTATACAGGCCCTATAAAACTTAATAATAGAGACCTATATTGTGTAGATTTTCAGTCTGTGGTTCATATATCCTTACGAGCATTAATTATCTCGGATTTTCCCTCAGTGATTCATTCCTTGAGAATTATTTATTTATTCCCAACTTTTTCTACGACCAAATCCTTCAACTTTCTTCGACCAAATCTTTGCTGGGACCTGTTTTGGGTGCTCAATACTAGAGGTTGTTTCATAATCACCCAAACTAGGACAAAATTATTGCCAATCATACTTGTGTCATTAATTGCCTCTTTTTATGTATTTTAAGTGATTATAATTTATATCAATTTTAAATCAAGTAAATTATAAAGGCCCACGAGATTAAGCTCAATACGCAGGAACCTCCACTCCATCGTTTCTCTTATCAAAATATATATACTCTATATATAGTGAAATATATGACCAAGAAATTTTATATGGTTAATAACTACATGTCTTATTTATATTCTTATCTATAAAAAATATGAAAAAATGACAAAGAAAGACCGTAAAAATTACACATACAATATTTTAACTGGTTTCGATAACTTATAAGTAACAATACATTATGGTAAATATACTTAGTTTTAAATTTTGTGATTTCCACCTCTCTTTTCTTTGTTATTTTTCCCAAAACTATGGTGATTCCTTCTTTTTTTTTTGTGAATGCTGTCAGTGTGAGTTACTGGGGTGAGTGAAATTAGGAGTATGTTATGTGTAAAACGTTAAGGTCTTCTTTTTTATTAGGGTCGTCTTTTTTAAGTTAAGAAAAAAAATAAAAGAATTAAAAAAAATTTGGTGGATTTAAAAAAGTCAGCCCGCGACATTACAGGACTAATCCGTTTATTTTTCGGCTCTACAAGACTGGTCTTTTTAAACCCAACTTCCGTTTCAAAATAGAATACAAGCCGGGCCTTTGACTTGAATGGACTAAAATGGATTGACCCGACAGGCTCAGCCCGTTTTCTCAACTCTACTCTCAGGTTTTTGTCTCTCTCTCTCTCTATCAGCTTTCTCTCTCATCTATTAAAGCTAACCACAATGAACTCAATGACACCCAGAAGAAGTGAAGAAGGACACGTAGTGTGCTAGCTTAAGTAGATTAGAATCAGAGTGATATGAAAAGGAGGTTATATTTATGCCAGAAATTTTATTACAAAGTGAAGAAATAAAGCCTGAGATGCGGAAAAAAATTTCATCAATTCCTCCCATAAGACTCTAATCAAAACTTCTTCTTTCTAACATGTTATAACAGCATAGAAGCAGCGTGCCCATGTTGATGAGGAGTAGGATCAGTCGAAGAGGCAGTCTTTTCTTCACTCCTTATGGGTGTCGTTGAGCTCATTGTGGTTAGCTTTAACAGATGAGAAAGAAAAGCGATATAGAGAGACACAAACTTGGGGGAGGGAAGAGAGAGCGCACTGCCAGATCATCCTTTGCCATTGTCTGTTAACAACGTTTGCAACGTCAGTGACGGAAGGACTTTGTAAATTTAATAAAATTAACTACAAGGATTCAATAAAAAGAAACAAAACTGTAAGGATCTAATTCAAAATCTGATCAAACTGTAAGGACCTGAAACATATTTTCCCTAAATCAAGTTATAAAGACACATTATCATTTAAAAAAAATAACCTATAAGAATTTAAGTTACAATTGGAGAAAATTGTAGTAAAGACCTACCGGATTAATTTTTCTTATAAATAGTAAAAGAAATAAATGGCCAGTTGATCCCGCAGCTGATGATCGTACCGTTGAGAAATAAGATTAATGCGCAGGGACCTCCACTCCTTTGTTTCTCTAATAAAAATATACTGTATATATAGTGAAATATGTAACCAAGAAATTTTATATGGTTAATAATTACATGTGTCTTATTTATATTATTTGAACGACCACAGAAGAATGAAGACTTGATTTTTATCACGAAAAGAAAAGAAATGTTGACTTGATAAAATTCATCCGCACAAGAAAGGACTTCCAAAAGAAATTGCCTGCAGTGAAAAAGAAGAACAATAAAAAACATCATCAATCCTCAACAATAACCGTTTGAACAGATTTTTATCATAAACAACGCAGAAGTTATTGACACCATATACAGTGAAAAAATTGGAAGAATATTCCGTTAAGGGACACAAGACAGCATTATAAATTGGAACACCAAGTTACCCTAAACTTGCATCCCGCACTACGTAAACGAATCACATAATGATGAAGCAGACGAGTCATTCTTCTCTGCAAGAGACGGAGCTGATGAACATAGAGACTGCTCATCATCATGAAGAAGATAGGATGAGAGTTCTCTATGAAGCTTCATATAAAGGATGTGTTTCAACCTTGAACTCACTGCTACAGGAAGACCCTGGAATCTTGCAGAAAATTAGCTCACAAGCTATCTTCATAGAAACTCCCCTGCACATATCAGCTTCACATGGTCACCTTGAGTTCACAAAAACCCTCCTTTCTCACAAACCAGAACTTGCCCTTGAGAGAAACTCTTTACAAGGCACACCTCTCCACTTAGCTTCTGCAGAAGGCCACATGAACATTGTGAAGCAGTTGTTGAAATACGGTGAAGAGGCGTCCTTTGTTCGTGACCAGGAAGGCAGAATTCCCTTGCACTATGCAGTTATAAGAGGCAGAAGAGAAGTTGTGTTGGAGCTGAGTAGAGCAAAGCCAGAGTCCGCGAGGTTACATGATGACAACGGGGAAAATATTTTCCACTTGTGTGTGATGTACAACCACTTGGAGATCCTTAAAGATTTGATGGCTTTGCATATTCATGACACCAATAAGCTTCTCATTGAGCGAGACTCGGATGGCAAGAACACCATTCTCCATTTGGCTATCATGCTGAAGCAAGTCAAGGTACTTTTTCACTTACTTGTATAACCAGCTTGAGTTTGAGATCACATTACATATATAACCGTTTTCGATCTTTTTCTGGTTCTGTTATGTATAAGTCACAAGCATAACAAATTAAATTTTCTTTTTGGTTGTTATGTTCAGACTGTGAGTTACCTCCTTTCAATTCCAAAAATAAGATCAGAAGCACTGAACTTGAAGAACGACATGGGTTGTACGGCCCCAGGTATCGTTTATGGATTTCCCAAGGACTCCAAGAGCCTTGAAATACAAGTCATATTGATGGAGTGTGGAATCAGACGTGGAGGGAGAGAGAAGAATGGTGGTGATAGCAAGGAAGAGAGATGTTGGATGAAGAATTGGTCGTGGAAAATTTTTTTCACACAAAGACCAATGGTTCCAGTATAATGGCGATTGGGTAGAAGACATGAGGGGGAATCTAAGTCTGGTGGCTACTGTCATCTCAACCATAACCTTTCAAGCTGCACTTAACCCTCCGGGAAGTGTCATCCAACAAGATATAAGACCCAGCGATCACGATTTCAACCTCACTACCAGTTACAACACTTCGATCAGTGACGGACCCCTCGGCTGCTTGCCGTACAAAGATGGTTATGGGGTTAAGCACCCTTACGGACCTTGTCCCGGGCAAGCCATGTTTGCTTATCGTAACCCAGATTCCTTTGGCGAATTCTTAACCTATAACACCATCTCTTTTGTGGCATCTCTGTGTGTTGCCCTCTTGCTTGTAAGTGGAGTTCCTCTCAAACATAGATTTGTGTTATGGCTCCTATCTATAGGCATGGGCATAGCTCTCACCTGCCTTCTGAACGCCTATTTTATTGGCCTCGACCTTATTTCCCAAGACTCTGTGCAGACCGGAAAGGGGGTGATGATAGCCACTACAATTTTTATTGGTTTGTATGCACTGGTTGGTGTATACATTGCGGTGAAGTTTGTTATATGGGCGGTGAAGAAATTGAAGGACAAGATAACAAAAGCGAAGAAATAGAAGGGAAACTTGGCATCAGAATTCAAGTAAACACTTGATGCGTCTTAGGTGTGTAGAACTTTTCAGGGGTTGATTACCGTTAATGTTCCTTGTGTTTGCATATACGTACATTCATGTATACATATATATATATATATGCACTTCTTAAATATTTAATGAATGGCCTATGTTGTAGAAGTTTTCAGTACTGCCTTCCTCATCTTCACTCATCTCATCCTCATCACACAATTTGTATCTTAATATGCTTCAAGTTTTGAAAGTCGTCTCACTTGCTTATGTGTATGAGACGCCTTCTTTCCCCCCATGAAATTACATCTCGATCTTTATTTCGTTGTTATCGTAAACCATTGTTATAACCTTTTTTCCTTAAAAAATAGATTAATTCAATGAAATTTAAGATTTATATGCGTGGCTCAATTTCCTTTAAGAAGAAACTTTAAAATTTTTTTTTTGGGCTAAAGAGAGGTATTCTTCTATTGGAAGCAATCCTGTTTGAGATACTATCAGTATAAAATGTTGGCAACTTTCTCAACAGAGATATGAATATTGACTTGCCTCGTTGTGAAAGATTAACCCCTTCTACTCGACTAACCCTGTTAATAAATTTTAAAATAATTAATGATGTGCCCCCATATCTTATTGAAAATGGGCCAAATGAGAATATGGGTTGTCGATGAAGTAAATGGGCTGAAAAATATGCTCAAGGGTTTAACAAGCATAGGTTATCAATAACAATCAAAACTCAAAAATATATGTATGCATAATGACAGAACAAATGTCAAGCAAATATTATACTATTCTCTTCACAATATGGATACTATCATACTTTAAAAATAGAAAATATGCAGAAAGGAAAATGTCAAAAGAAGAGAAGGATTCCAAAGGGAGGGAGGGAGCCACAGAAAGAGGAGAGATTCCAAAATAATTCTGCCCCCCTTCTGGTCTTCTTTGTGTCTATATGTGTCGTCACTTTTGCCTACCCTAAGCCCAAAGTCATCAGTCCCATAATGCTCTCTTGACAATCCAATTCTCTCAGCTTCCAGCCATATCCGTCTCCTTGATTCTTGGTTTTGGCTCTCTTTTCGATCACCAACTAGACCCAACTCCTTTAGGATCGTTACCTTATCTAAGTAAAGGGGTTACCATGAGAAGGCGCGGATGGATTTTATTTTACCATGTCACTCTTCTTCTCTGGCCATCGTCGCTGTCGTGTAACTGCTAAACTTCATCTCTTCTGCAACTTCTTATCTGTAACTACTCCTTCTTTCTTTCTTCGATACTCTTTCTTCTTATTTCTAAATATTGGGGTCTTGTGTTTCTTATATACAAATATATGTATATATATCTTGTGTTTCTTATATGTATATATGTGTATATATTTGTGCTTTGAAGAACATTTTAACCCTATGGCTATTGTTTAAATACCAATTTCACTATGATTGAGTTGATTTCCAGCGTTAGTTTCAGAGTAAGCATAACATGACGGAGTAGTTGGGATATTTCCTTTACCCTTGCCAATGTTCGGTCGATAACTCCACCTTCTTTACAAACAAGACTTGGTCTCTGAATTTCTAGCCACCCACTTTAATAAAAGAACTGGTAGGAGCTGGAGGCCGGGGAAACAACTTGCTAATTCCATTCATGTGCTTCCAAACTGATCGTCAAAAAGCTTAAGGCATGCTATCTCCTCAATTCAGGAATAGTCTAGAGACGTCTTAATAAACCCCTTAACTTGAATTTACTATTATTAGCCGCCAATGTGGACTCAAATCTATTTATGACTTTGCACGTCCCCCTCGTTTTCTTATCATCCGAAAATATACTCTCGTCCTTTAAAAACGTTAAAAGTACCACTCATATGATACTAGCCTTAAGTTTGGTATGAACTATGAAGGAAATGGAGAGAAAGAGAGAGGAGAAAAAATTTTATGAGCTCAAATTAAAAAGAAAAAGAAAAAAAAAGGGATTATAAATTTTAATAAAGAAAAATGTAAAACAAAAGAGCTATAAAAATTAATAAAAAACTTTTAACCCCACTTTGTCATATCTTGTTAAATCAATATAATGACGTGTGCACAAGCTAGTTTGGCTACTCCACCAATGGATTAGCTATAGAATTAATGAAATAGCCAATATGGTACAGAATCAATGATATAATAGGGTACCCGACAAATTCAGACTGACTTATTCAAGAAGGGGGAAACGTGGCAAAGAAGAGTCAGTTTTGGAGTAGTGATTTACATGCTTTTTATTTTAATATTTTCCTGTTCTTTTTCTGCTGGCATATTTTCAGTTCCGAAATAAGAGGGATAGCCCTCTCCAACATTAGGAATAGTTGCTGATTTATCGTTGATTGTTATCTTTGGATTTTCAACTAATTTTCTCTCTGTAATTTATTATAAAAAGGCTATCTGGCCGCAGGAATAAAGACGAAAATTCTTCAAAGAGTATATTTATATTGGAGATCCTCCATCGGTCCTTTAGAGAGAGTGCTGTGAGATCCTTGCTGCTCTTTTTATTGGAATTCTTTTCCGTGACTTTGCTTTTTTTATTTCCATTAGATCAGGTCCTTACCAAATTGGTATCAGAGCCATGGTTGAGACTAGATCATCCCGCAATACCAACCCACCTGAAAATCCTTTTACTGGAGATACTGACCCACTGATCTCCATTGCTGCGTGCTTAGAAAACATTGAAGCCTTGGCCAATAGAGTGGCTAATCTGGAAGCTACCTCTAAACGCACACGAAGAGGAATACATCCCTCTCACTGGGAGGCCGACAGCGATGACGACGGATGCCCTATACAAAGATTGAGTTCCCCAAATTCAGTGGAGGAGACCCGAGAGGCTGGATACTCAAAGCTAAAAAATACTTCAGATACTACAACACTCCAAAGAAAATGAAAGTGGATGTCGCCTCTATGTATCTGGAGGGAGATGCGTTGGATTTATTCTCTTGGGTCAACAATGAGAGGACGTTGGTGTATTGGGAGGAGCTTGTAAAGGCTCTTCAAGAGAGTTACAGACTACCAGAATACCAGAACCCGGATGAGTACCTCTGTAGCATTAGACAGACTGGGACTGTGGCTGAGTACCATTCTGAGTTCTCCCGTAGATCGTCTTGCGTCAAGAACTGGCCGGAGCATTGCCTCCTTGGTGTCTTTATCAATGGCTTAAGAGAAGAACTAAAAGCAGACGTGCGAATTCACAAGCCTCGGACGGTGTATAGGGCCACCAACTTAGCTCTTGAATTTGAAAACAAGCTGAAACTCACCAGTGGGCCTAAGCCCAATTCCTCTTCTACCCAGAACCATTCCTACTCATCAAATATGCACGGTAGAGTGTTAGATATGATTAGTTTTGATGATGTCAAATAATAGAGCAAAAAGTTTACATAAATTATTTATCTCATATTTTGACTAACTATCATACTTAATATCTTGTGTAGTTTCCTTAAGAAAAGAAAGGAGTTATTATGTTGCACTTTGAGTTATGGAGAATGATCAAGAGGAAGAAGAAGAAGAGAGATTGAGAAAAGAAGAACTTGCAAGATCAAATGAAAATATCAAGATTCAAGTTCATAGATTTGATGTTAAATGTTGCTATACTCAATCAGAAGTTTGAATGACTCAGTCGGAAGCGAAAATATACAATCGGGAAGTTATACCATCATATATTGAGTCACCCTTCATATAAACATGGAAAATAAGCTTTAGAGGTGATTTTCATGGGCAATTATCGATCACTTGATCGATCATCCATTTATTGATCAAGTTATCGATAAAATGCATCCTCTGTTATGCTCTGTTCTTCGTTCAGCTCTGACATAGGTTCAGTATTTCTTCAATATCTCTCAAACCACAAATCCGTTTGAGATGAAACTTGATTTATATGAAACTAGACTCAGAACACGGTTCATGGACACCAAAATCAACTTCAAAGAGTTTCATATGAGGGAGATATGTTGCTCGAAACATTGCAGTAAGGATTAACGCCTTGATTCCGACCTTCAGTCACTGTGATGAATATAACTTTGCAACCACAACGAATTTTGGGTTGATTCTTGTTGCATTATAAAGTATACTCAAAGAGCTTTCTGGGGATAGGTCATTTGCAAAATTTGGAGTTGAATTGGAAGAGTTATGATCACTCAAAGTTGACCTTCGTTCTGCTTGAATCAGAATTCGAATTTATGGAGGCAAAGACCAGAAGTTCTACATTAATTGATTAAGCTCTCGAGCAACATACTACTCAAACATGTTATTGAGTAAAAGCACTAGAAGAAATGAAAAAATGAGAAGCCATTATCAGATGTTACTCGAGCCTGATCAAACAACTACATACTCAATCATTTTATCGAGTTCCTGGTCCTATCACTTCAGTTCTTCTCTTTTATCTTCATATGCATTATTGAGATTTTATAACCTATTGGATAAATGGTTTTCGGATAACGTTATGGATAAATGTATTTATTGATCACTTGATCGATAAACAAGGTTAACGTTATGGATAAATAGGCATTTATCGATAACATGATCGATAAATAGATTATCGATGAGAAGACAGATAAATGGTAATGCGGTCTACTCATTCTATGTCTTGCTTTAGTCTCCATCTATCGATCACCTTATCGATCAGTCATTTATCGATAATATGATCGAACATTGCTTCATAGCTCTGCATGCAGATAATTATTTTAGTAGCTGATCGATCACATGATCGATAATTAGCACATCGCTTTTAAACCATGATTCTTCGATCACTGGATCGATAATCTTATTATCGATAATATGATCGATCACCGCACTTCATGTTTACCTTGTTTTCACGTAACGTGATCGATAAATCAGCTTTTTGGTTTTACAAGAATAGATCTTTTTATCGATAATATTATCAATCAACCTTTTATCGATCACCTGTTCGATTAATCCACATAGTCTTTGTTTTTCGCTGAATATATTCTTACTCATTGTTTATCGATAACCTTATCCATTATCCAT